TTTAGGCAATTATTAAAAAAAAAAGCACATTTCCCTAAAACTTACACCTTATTTAAAAATTACTAAGAATAAATCATGAATCTAAATGTAAAATATAAAACTCGAAAGCTTTTAGAAAAAAATAGGAAAAAATCTTTAAGATCTAGACCTAGTCTAGAGTTCTTAGATTTTATACCAAAAGCACAAATAATTGATAAGTTGGACCTTATCAAAATTATAACAACAAACTTTTGCTTTGCAAAAGACTTACAAAGAAAATTTTGAAAAGTTACACATTGGGAGAAAATATTTGCAAATTACATATCCAATAAAAGACTGGTATCTAAAACAGTAGTTTTCAATTGGTGTGCCATGAAGACTTTTAAAGATCATTAATTAAATTATTTTCAAAAGAAGCTAAAAGCACAGTAAATATATTCTTTTTTATTACTGTTGTTTTTGATAAACATAATTTAAGTGTTTCATGGAGGTTTAACTATAGGTTCAAGTGTACTGTGAGATAAAAAAGGTTGAAAAGCACTGATGTAGAACATATAATATAAAGAATACTCAGCACTCAACGGTAAAAACAAACAATCTAATGTAAAAAATGGGCCAAAGACATTAAAAGACATTTCACTGAAGATGACAAAAAAGCACAAGAAAAGATGTTCAGCATCTTTATAAACATGCAAATTTAAATCTCAATGAGATGTCATTAGATATCTATTAGAATTGATAAAATAAAAAATAGGACAAATGCTAATAAGGATGCAGAGAAATTAGACTACTCATACATTGTTTGTGGGAGTTTAAAATGATAAGGCCAGTCAGAGGGAAATTTCTTATAAAACTAAACATACAATTACCAAACAATACAACAATTGCACTCTTGGCCATTTATCTTAGAGAAAGAAAAACTTGTTCACACAAAAACTTTTACTTAAACGTTTATGGAAGCTTTATTTTTAATAGACATAAGATGGAAAAAAACCCCTAAATATCCTTCAATGAGTGAATGATTAAATGAACTGTGATACATCAATATCACAGAATAATACTCAACAATTAATAAATGGAGTATCAACACACTCAAAAATTTGGATGAATCCTTAGAGAATTATGATCAGTTTTAAAAAGTCATTCCCCAAAGGTTATGTGCTGCATGATTAAATTTTTATATAATATTATTGAAATGACAAAATTAGTAAATGTGTAACAGGTTAGTGGTTGCTGGTGGTTGAGAGGTTAGGAATGAGTGTGGCTATAGGAGGGTGGCGGGACGGATGCTTATGATGGAACTGTTTTGTATCTTGATTATATATATATATATATATATATATATATCTCAATGTCAATATCCTAGTTGTGATACTGTACTATAATTTTAAAGCTATTATTATTGGGGAAACTGTGTAAAAAGTATACAGTGTCCTTCTATATTATTTCTTAACAATTGTCGATAGCTCTACTATTTCAAAATAAAAAGTTTAATTTAAAAAAATCAAAAGGGAGGAAAGTGTAATAGTTGAGAGACACTGTAGACTGAATGTTTGTGTCCCTCCAAAACTCACATGTTGAAACCTTATCCCCAGTGTGATAGTACTTGATAGACTTTGAGAGGCAAATAGGTCATGAGGGCAGAACCTTCATGGATGGGAATAGTGCCTTTATGAAAAAGACCCTAAAGAGATCCTCTGTTTTACTCACCATATGGAGATACAGTGATAAGATGGCTGTGTATGAACCGGGAAGTGGGCTCTCACCAGCTATGGAATCCAACGGTGTCATGATTTTGGATTTTTCAGCCTCCAGGACTGTGAGAAATACATTTCTGTTATTCAGAAGCCAGCATCAGGCTATGATATTTTGTTATGGCAGCCCAAATGGACTAAGTAAGACAAGAGTAGAGCATTTTCAGATGGATAAGTTTCTTATCCAAATTCTATCATTAATAGCTATTTAACTTTGGGCAATGTCTTAGCACCCTTATCTATCAAATGGTATTAATTAATAGCATCTACCCCATAGGTGTATGGAAAGGACTTAATGAATTAAAGTATAGAAAGCCTTATCCCAGAGCCAGTCATATGGTAACCACTCCACAGAACGCTAGTCCTAATTATTATTGCAGACTTCCTCTCTCTCTCAATATGGTTCATAGTCAGTGAACATTATTTCAGGTTCACAGGAGAAATAACATCAAGATAGTAAAATTGGAAGACTTAACATTACATGGAAGCTGTGCAAAGATTTAATGTAGAATATCTAAGATGCATAACTTATAATGAGAAACAAATGTGTTTATAATTAAACTAAGTAATTTTATGAAATAGAAAAAATATCACTGCCCAGGTTTATGTACCTTTTCTTTAATGAAACAAAGATCCAATCAAAAAGTCTGAGTGGAAGCCTGGATGAACATTAAACAGAGACACAAAAGTGATAAAGATAATTCTTTCCTAATTTCCCCAATTGCTAATGATAATGAACAAAATCAATTAAAGCATTTCTAAGATGACCTTTTCTCTTCCTTGCAAAGAAATTTCTGAGATATTCACGCTTATGTGAATTGAATTCCCCAGGTTGTTGTGCTATCTTCATTTGAGGAGGATTCTTTTCAAAACCAGGGGAGAGTGGAAGGGCATGTAGAAAAGTGGTGAAGAGAGATAACACAGGCATCTGAAGAGTCTTGAACAAAATGCAAATTTGTTTTAGCAATCATTTTTATCTTTTTCCCTACCTAGCCGCTAAGCATCAAGCAGATGGACTGATCAGCATTTTGCATGTTATTCTGCCCGATTATACACTGATAAAAACAGGAAAAGAAAAACACTGAGTCAGGATAAAATTTAAGTGTCTGTCGCATCTAGGATATCTTGACAGCCTTTGTACTTTGAACCATCATGGACTCAAGAGTTTATAGAACACAAATTAAACTATGATAAAAGAATAAAAGATCCCTGTATGACCTGAAGAACATGACTTTCTTACTGAGATTTTACTATTTGTGAGTATGAATCTATTACTCTGATGAAATAGAAAGCACATGGACATTGAAATTGGACAGGCAAATGAAATTTAGTCAAAATCAAAGCTCTACCACTTACTAGCTATGTAAAGATAAGTTACTAACCTCTCTGACTCACAGGGCATTTTTTTTTGCTTATAAAATTGAGGTTAAAGAAATTGTCTTGCTGGTAGCTATGGAACCGAGGGAGATCATGTTCTAGCTCATAGGAGGACAGATCCTTTCCTTTTTTGCCCTTGTATCTGTTGAATCTTTTATATTGTGCTCATTATTATGCTCAAGTTCCCCTCATCTTGTGATTATAAAATTGCTCCTCAAGGACTGAACCCTGAGCTTTTGGGGCCACATGTAAGGAAGATGATGATGCCTCTAATCCAGGACACTCCATCTCCAGGTTATTATTTACAAATAAATCCTTCTGAATTGATTGCAAACCGCACATACCAAAACTCACATGTTTATTCTTTGGAATTTTTAAAAAAGAGAGAAAGATAAATTGAAAAAGATCTTCTATCCCAGTGGTTCTCAACCTTCCTAATGCCGTGAGCCTTTCACACAGTTCCTATGGGTCGCGACCCACAGGTTGAGAACTGCTATTCAATCCACTACAGGAGATCCTCCTCAGATCTATAGGTTCATCCCCATAATCTTCTAAAGTGAACAATCTCTCCTATAGCCTTAAATCAAAGTCTCTGACTAAAGAAGTTAAACTGAAAGATTTATTTTTAACCAAGTTTCCTACACAAAAATTTCAGAATGCTGGTTAGTGGTAGAGTCTTACATGAAAGAAGAGACATGGTAGCTGTGGATCAAGAATACGGGTCTAAGCCAAGGTTGGAGGTGCTGCTCATTATTTTTTCACTATACTTTCATTTTGTATTATATTTTTCTTAATTGAGTAGAAGCAACATACCACTCTAGAATGTATTCTTATATATGATGAAACACAAATGATACACATGAATTAGCACAGCGTTAGAAAACCCTGATCCTTTTATATGTTTCAGGTTGGTGTAACATGTATCATGTTGTATATGGTAGATTGTTACAATAATGGGTTTCAATACATTGCATCTCCCTGTGACCTTATCTCTGTACAATGTGACTTGGCCCTCCTCCCATCATTAGGTAAATTCTATTTCACCATCATTTGAAGCTGGGATGACCTTGTGACTGGCTTGGACCAATAGAATGTGGTGAAGTGATTGTGTGTGACTTCCAAGGCTGAGCCTGAAAATGCTTCGCAGCTTCTGCTGTGACTTTCTTGGAACACTTTCACTGTCACATAAAGAAGCCTGATCTACTCCACTGGCAGATGAGAAGTCATTTGGAAACGGAAGCCCAGCCAGGAACCAACATCAACCACCGTCAGATGCATGACTGAGATCACCTAGAATCAGCCAGCCCCCAGCTGAACAATGAACTGTCTGAAAATATGCCAATGAGCCCAGACAACACTAGTGGAGTAAAAGAAATTCTCAGTTCACTTCAGCTCAGATTTCCAACCTACAGAATTGTGAGCAAATACAGAGTTATAGTTTTAAGTATAGTATTAAGTTTAGTATTAAGTATAGTATAGTTTTAAGGCACTAATTTCTGATGTTTTATTTTTTTTACCCAGCAATAGATAACTGACCACTAAGTAAAAGACCCATGGTAAACTTTTGACAAGAAATGAAAGGGAGGCACATACAATCTGTCACCCCATCTCTTACTTTTATTACATCTAATTTTCTTTTCTTCATCATTTCTTGCATTGATATTTTTACAGCTTTTTAAAAAGCAGCCCTATTGGGCTAAGATGATTGTATGCTAACTTGAGCAGCTATGCTCTACAAGAAAGACTAAAATTTCCTTTCTGACGTCCTCTAAGACTTAGATTTCATCCCTATATGTTTTGTTCTTGCCTTAGATTTGCAAAAAATAAACTGATTTTTTTCAATAAGAGATTATTCTTCTCTTTCCCGTGTATAGGAATCCCGGTGACTCCTTAGATAGTTCTTGTGAAACAAACTTTCTTTTTCTCTCCAGGTCATCCAGTGGGTTTACCTTTCCAGGCTCTGGAACTAGTGTTCTGTAACCTCTGACCTTCCTGACCACTCTTTTTTTGAAATGCCTCTCTGTTTTCTTCACCTATCTCTTTTGGGCATTCCCCTACCTCTCTGTAATCACCTTTGCTAGCTTCTTTTCTTCCGGACTTTTAGCGTCCTGGTCCTCGACCCTCTGCTTTTCTCTGCTGCTCTCACTCCTGTGGCGAGCTTACCTACCTTACGGCTTTGTCCTGAGAATTTTCATCTCTATCAGAGGACAAGCAAGTGTTAACTTACAGCTCTGATATTTTTATATCATTGCTTTTGAATAAATACCTGTGAATTGCTTCTTCATGTGGAAAATGAAATATATGCATTGACTGTGATACTCAGTATTATGTTTGATAAAACTGAAAACCTCTTGAAATCTCTTAAGGGGTCCTGCTATCAAGAGACTTCCCACTGGATGGTGAAAGTTTATGTATGAAATTCTAGTCAAAATATGTCCCATCTTTGGAAAGCCCAAAATTGGGAAACTACAACTCTTATTGCAAACCCAACGGCTCCAGATGAATAAAAGATTCAACTATTAAATACTCATGTAAAACTACTGCTTAAATAACTTCATGTTATCCTCACGTACATTCAAGGATGCTTCTGACAATTCCAAATATGAATTCACATGTATTTGTAGCTCTGGGCTTCAAGGAATGAAATAAAACAATAATTTTAATTTTGGAAGTCCTTGGAGTGAAAACAACAGAGCTGTAGCCTTTTTCTGGCTGTTGTGTCTTCCAATCCCTGCAGGCCAATTAAGTTCTTTCAAAGCTCCAGCAAGGGCTAGAAGGTTAATTAAACTGTGTGATTTTTTTTAAAACGGAGAAAAACTAAACTAAGGATAATATATAGTGCACATACTCCACCAGCTGCCTTGGAATCAACATTTAATTAACCAGCAGTGAGGCATAGCACCTGTTTTTTTTTTTTTTTTCTTCTATTTCTGCACAGACATCACGGGTGAAAGTACTAAAGTCTCAGTAGCTGATGTTTGCAAAGACAATAAGTGCAATGGCTCTCCCTTCTCCAAGCCCACCCTATTCTTTCCCCTTAGACAGGGACTTGGTTTTTGGTGCCTCTATCATACGCCCTAACACTTCTTCCCATAAATAGTAGGTTCTTCCCCCATGACCCTCTTCTAAAACCCCACAGAGAATTTTTTTCTGGTACCTCCTATCTCCCTTCCACATACAGCATGCCCATGTATTTTCCGCTTTTCATAATGGCAGCTATTTGATTAATTAGCTAATAGTCTGTTAATGTGCTAATCCTCTCTGGAAACTCTTGCATTTTAACTAGAGGACCTGGAGAACTAGATAGTCCATTGATGGAATTATGGTAGTCAGCCTCAAAAGGGCTCCACTGATCCTTCCTTTCTGGCATTCAAACTTTTGTCATGGTTGGTCTGGGTGACCAATAATATATGACAGAAGTTACAGTGTGACACTCAGGATTAGGTTATTTTTTAAAAACTTCATCTTAATCTTTCTCTTTCTCTCTCATTACCTGCTTACCTGCTCTGGAGAAAATCATACTGTGGGTAGTCTATGGAAAGTCTCCTTGTCTCCTTGGTAAATAACTGAGGAGTCATGTGAATGACCTTGACAATGGTTCCTTTAGCCCCAGTTAAGCCTCCAGAGACTGCAGACTTGCTCAATTCTTTGTCTGCAACTTCATGAGAAATCCCAGTCTAGAACCAGCTGGATAGGTCATCCCAGATTCCTGACCACAGAAACTACATAATAAACACGGTGTTGTTTCAAACCTCTAAGATTTGAAGTAATTTGTTGTTCAGTAATAGATAATCAATACAGAAAGTTTGGATTTTTCCCACATGATAAAGCCATTCAGCATCACGTGAAGGTGACTTGCTAAGGTAGTAGAGTGAGCTGGACGACTCTTGTAAAACAAAAAAGAGAAAGACAGCAGCAGACACTTATGGAAAAGTACCACATGGTGCATGGGGAGGAATAGGAAAGTGTTGCTGGGCGGACTCTGCTAGGACTGGAGAAGGGAAGGGGCAGTTGACTGTGTAGAAGTCCAGGATTTGTTCCCTTGTTAGGGGAGCCGTCAAAGCCTCCTCTTTCCGACCCTTTTTCTTCTCATCAAGCCTCAGCCACTCCTAGGGTACAGACAGACTATATACCATTCTCCATCTCTTTAAGATTGTCTATCTCATATCTTCTGTGTCAAGGTCTGTATCTCCTTTATTTCTCTAAAGATTTCCTTAAGGGGCTAACAAGACAACAAATCACACATCTGGTACTTTTGAACGTGGTCAAGTCCACAATAGGTTTCCTGGTATTTGTGACTGGGAAGGTATACAGTACAATTGGGAAAGCATATTTTGACACCAGATGCCTCTGGGTTTAAACATAGCCTCTGCAGCTTAATGCAGTGTCAGGTGGGGAGTTCCTTCAAGCCTTGGTTTACTTATCTACATAATGGGAGTAATATGGAGCTCATTAGCTTATTAAGTTCATTGAGTAAGATAATATACATCTATCTCCAAACATAGTTCCTGGGATCCAGAAAATGCTCACGAAATCCTAGTGTTCTTTTTTTCTATTCTTTCATCTGAATCATTCAAAGCAACTTTAATAACTCACAGACATTTAGGAAGACCTTTAAGCTTTATTGTGTGATTGAAGAGAGAAGAGAGGTATATTATTATCCTTTTAGATGTGCAATAATCTGCCAAGAAAGAGGAAATTATTTGTATGCCCTAATTTTTGTGTTATTTGTGTTCTACTACCAGATGGTACTTAAAATACACAGGATTCAAATAAATCTATAAAAGTTATCTAAAGCACAGAAAAAGTATAGTTGGATTTTAACCATTACTTATAAAACAAGAATTATCTCTATGAAGAGACCTAGAGATAAAAGGCAACTTAAAGTATGTCCAGGCTAAATGAAAATCATATATGAAAAGATCAACTTGACTACCTTTTAGAAACAGAATGGTAATTAATGCCTGGACTCAAATCCCAGCTCTGTCCCTAATTAGCTGTGTAACTTAGGAAAACAAACTCTCTGAGCCTCAGTTTCCTTATCTCTAAAATGGGAATAATTATTAATATAATGCTTGACTTAAGGATTGTTGTGAGGATTAAGTGTGTGTGTGTGTGTGTGTGTGCGTAAAGTGCATATTCCAATGCCTAGCAATGGCTGTCTATAAGGTTCCTTTACCATTTTCAAGTGTCCCTTGAGCTTTAACTTGAAACTGTAGAGACAGGGAATTTAATGCCCTACAAGACAGGCCTTCCAGCATTGGACAGTTCTAGTTCCATCCTCTCAGAAAGAGTAAAGCTAGGCTATACTTTTTCCAGCAAGGCGGTCCTCCTGATATTCACAGGCAGCTACAGCCTCTTTCTATCCCGTGCTTTCTGTTGCAAAGGGTTTCTAGATCCTCCATTCCCTGGCTGCCTCCCCTCTAACTGCTCTTTGTTGTCACTTATCATTGTGGAGAGAGTCCTGCAGAATCAATGCAGTGCTCCAGATGTGGGTCAGTAAAATGGGTCTACGGTTTCCGTTGACAAGAAATGACACCATGCCTTCATCAGCACAGCATCTCATTGTCTTTTGGGGATTTTTTTTTGGGGGGGGTTTCGTCAGTTTCTTTGTATGTGACAAAATCAAGCATATTTGCTACTAAACATAGGTCTTTGTCGCTTGAGTTTTACCTTATTCATTTGATTTCACCCTTCTGTATATTCTATCCTCCTAGCAACACAATGAATTCTATTTCCCCCACTTTTGTGTTAGCTACAAAGCAACAAACCAGATGAGAAGCTTTCATGTAGAAAGCCATGTAGAAAGAATCATTTTCTTAAATTGTTGATCATAAGAGAGGACACTGCTCCATCATCTCAGTGAGCTGAAGGTATTGGGCATCAGTTGGACATGGCCTGGAGAAAAGACATTGACCCATGGTAGAATAAATGAGTGAATAACTGAATGAATGAATTGCTAGGGAGACAGCAGGAAGAGGAAATACACAGACTAACATTCACACAAAGGTTGAAAGAACTGATATTAGATACTTCCTGAGAAATGTTTTATGAGAGGAAAGTGAGTATATTCCTGAACAGGGTGGCAAAAAGTTATGCAAACAAGATAACTGAAAAGATTCAAAAGAAGCTGCAGTTATTTCACAATTCACTGGTCTCTACTAATGCAAGCAAGACTTTCCCCCTAGAAACCTCAGAGGAAAAAGGCTTTTTAAAAATCTCATAATAGATATAGACTTTCAGGCCTTCCATATACACAGATAACCATGAGATGTAAAATATAGAGTTGCTTTTCCTTGAACAATTTGAGACTGTCTCAAGGAAAAAAATATTGGATCCAGACAAAAAGCTATATTTAAGGACCTAGAAAGCCTCAGGTTCCCCACTCCTGGGTGACAGAGAATTATACAAACTAAAATCTCAGTAAAGGAAACAACAACAAAAGAACTGGTAAGAAAATGGGGCTCACAGTAGCAAGGTGTGAGGTACTTCAATACTGAGGCACTGATTGAATGTAAGGATCTTACTGATGAAGAAAAGAGCAGGGAAGAAGGGACAAAGTGTTTCTGAAAGTCCACACTTAGATCATTAGAGGACCCAGTGGAAGGTCCCAGAATCCTGGGAAGAGGCTAAGAATGATGAAGTCATACCAGCCAAAGCAGGAGGGTGTGTGAGCATGGTAGGCGGAATGAATAGCTTCGATCGCCACCACTCCCTACAGCCACGCCTTCACCATGGTCTCATCAGGGGTGGATATATTCCCTGCCCCCAGACTGTGGATTTATCCATGCGACTTGCTTTGGCCAATGGATGTGGGAAGAAGTGACGGTGCCAGCTCCACACCTAGGCCATAGCAGGCTTTAATGTTTCCACTCAACTTCTTGTGTCACTGCCATTTCCATGAGAAGAACATGCCCCACCTTGCTTGCTGATCCTGGGAGGAGGATGAGAAAAATGTGGTGAAGAGCCT